CCCGCCGAGTCCAGCCCTGCCATGCATGCTCCTGGGATCGGCGACACCTAGCCAACACCTTGCAGCCTCTCAGTGATTCTCAACCTGAGTGAGGCTTTGAGAAGACCGAATGCAAGGAGGCAGGGGTTATCTTCCCAGTGTCTAGCACTCAGCGTGCTTCAGAAGGGTACTTTCCTACCCTCTGCTCTGACATGCAGCCATTCAGTGACATGCTCAGCCACGGCCCCATCGTTTCTTCCCCATCTCATCAGGTGGAGAGAGGCAATATGTCAGCAGGGAACGTGCACACTGCCATCCAAAGCCCTGTGCTCCTGAAGATAAAGGCCAGATAAAAGAAGGCATTCCACAGCCGGCGGGGTGGGGTGGGGGTTACGAAACAGACACTCCATCTTCCAGATGAAACGGAGTACAGTTTCTACCAGCACGTCCCTCATTTGAGAAAGACTTTCCCCATGTGTCCATAGAACGAATGACAGCTTTGGGGGCAGGAAGGACACCACGGAAGCTACTGACCAGCAAAGACGGAGTCAGTAGCTATGAACCATATACCACGTATCTTACATCTACACAAAGTATCATAAAAGCATCGCTGTCAACCCCTTAAAGATGGCCTGGAATGAAAAAAATGCTCCTTTGAAAGTCCAGCTGCCCTGCTGGAAGATGGAGCTCAGCTCAGCACAGCCAAATGCCATCAAACTGAGCCTCCTTTTGTTGTGTCCATTGAACGACATGTCTCTGAGCTCTGGCTCACTCATAATGACATTTTAAGTAGCTTCCAATGCTTTGTGTGGGCTCTTAGCAGGGCAATTACATGAAATGTCAGATCATCAAACATGTAGCCCTGGAATAGCAGATTGCCTCACAGTGACTCGGCGTGCACAGTGGTGCAGGCCTGACCTGCTAAAATTATATGTCTTTGCAAGGTTGCCCAAACAAAACGCTACATGCTTTAGTGAGTGAGTGATAGCATGCAGACGGCTTCACCGCAAAATTGCTTCAGTAAGAAAGCTGTGAATCACACGGAATAGCGTTTGCTCCTTAGAATATAGAAGGGTGGTTTAGTCACATCAACATCTATCTTGCTTTCTATGCTCAACATCATGTCACCGCCTTTGCAATTTCTCACCATCTTTATCATTCCTCACCACCAGCATCCTCACCACCTTCATCTTCATTCCTTACTCTCATCAGCACCATCATCCTCACTACCCACATCTTCACCACCTCACCAAAATCATCATTATCCTTATTATCAGCCTCACCCTCATTACCCATACTCACCATCCTCACTATCTACATCTTCATCATCATTATCATCCTATCAGCCCCATCTGTACTACCCATATTCATCCTTACCCACCGTCATCACCACCTTCAATCTTACCATTCTTACCATCACCATTACTGTTACCACAATGAGCACTTTTCGAAACATCATCACTGCTACCCCCCTACTATCCTCACCATTATCACACCACTAATCTCACTTCTATCCTAACCACCTTCACCATCAAGAACCCCCAGTCTTACCTCACCACCATCATCCCCCTTTACTACCCCACCATCATCATCCTCTTCACTACCATATCATTACCACCTTAGCACCATTTCATTATCTTCTCCCCATCTGTACAACAACCTCCATCCCCACCATTGTCGCCTTCCCCTTTAACACCCTCCTCACCCTGAAGAAGTGATGTGCCCCATCTGTGTAGACGGCTGAGGGCCCGTTTGACGCTGAAGCCCGTTTACTTATTGCTTTCCAACAGACTCAGAAGATTTCAGTTATTATTTCCTGCCACCTTCATGCGCGTTTCTGTGAAGAGGCATGGCCGTGCGCATCAATGTCTTGTCTACAGTTACTAGAAACAATCCAACAATGAAAAAACGCACTCTCTACAATTTGAGGGCATAGCACAGTTAAGGCCCATTTGCGTCTCGCAGGTGGGTATGTGTGGAGTGCCCCGAATGCGGGCTGGGGCAGGCACCCATCGCTCTGCAGGGTGTGGTTCCCAGGCCTCCACTTTGAAGCAGTCCACCTTTTCACTTCCTGTGGTCATGAGGAAAAGAAAGGAAGTATCACAATTATGGCCTTGGTAAGGAATGGGAGAACAAACGCCCAACTGCCCTGTGCTAGACCATGCCTGTGTGCACACAGGGGTCCAGGGGGGTCTCAGATGACCTGCTCTGTCATGTTCTCACCACACCTGGAGTCATGCCACTGGGCTCTCATCTTTCTCCTGCCTGTCCTCACAGAGCTGGGTTTACAGGCACAGCCTGGCCGCTCCCAGTTTGTCAGAGGGATGCTGGCATCTGAGTTTGGATCTTCCTGCTTGTGCTGAAAGAACTCTTATATAGTGAGCCATTTGGAGAGCCCTTCGGTTTAAAAAATGGACACAGAACTTTCTGCCACTTAAGTGCTTGTCCAGAGCCTGGGGAGAGCTAAGGGACAAGGCAGGTAGACAGAACTCAAGAATAGCCTCCTATGTCCCGTGAAGCATGGGGACCTCCCACTTCTCCAACTCTCATGTATCTGTTATGCAAAGTTATGTACTTGTGTTTTTACAGTGGCTTAGACACACAGCCAACAATCAAGGCCCATCCCTGGCACTGATGGTTTCACTTGGTGGTATAGAATGTTTAATTGAGGTTATGATTCCCCTATTACATGACAACTCCATGTAAACATATATTAAAGGAATAGAACTGTGATGTCAATGATCAAAGCCCAGGAGCTGTTAGCCAAAACAAAAACCTGAATGGTGTTTTTAGTTTTTGGTTTTTAGACAGTTAGTTCTTGATGAATCCAGCTTTCTCTGTTATGGTCCAAATATTTGCTCAGAAACTACCATTAATCTCTGATGGTTTTTTGCTCTCTTGGAAAATGAAGTTGATGACAACATAGCTTTTGAAGGCTGCATGAGCAACAGTTGGGAATATTTGCAGATGAGTCTATTTGTTCCTTCACCCAGCAAGTACTGCAGCTATCCAAGCTAGCACTGGATGTCACACAAGGAGAGCATGCTGCGCGGCCTTCCATGAGCCCACAGGCCACAGTGGGGCAGGCGGTGGCAGTGCTGACAGGCCTGGGTGGGCAGGGTGAACAGACCCTCACTACATACCCACCTGAATATTTGAAGGAGAGGGTTGGGCTGGAGGGTTTTTCTAGGGTGGGCTCAGCATTTCAAGGGACTGGGAAGGTTTCCAGTCTCTGAGCTGTATGCCCATAAGGGCTGGGTGACCCACCTCACTAGCAATCTTAAAGGAGACAAAGGGCAGGCAGTGGGCACCTCACAGAAGCACAGAGCACTCCCACAAATCCTCTCACTAAGATCAAACAGGCATGTTCATATGCCAGGCTCAGAACAGAAGTGAGTTAGACATCGCTGGAATACAATCAGCCAAATTCAAAATGTGATAAACTCTCTCAGGAAACTGACCTGACTTCTGAGAAAAACAGCTTCAGTGAGAATTGGGAAAAGCTGGTGTTTCCAGAAGCCGAAAGGCCTGCAGAGGCCCTTTTTCAGCAGAACTAGTTGTGAGAATCGTGGCGCAGTTGGGGAGTGCGTGCCCTGAAAAGGCGCGCTGTGACTAATCCTCATGATGGCGCCATGGAATGTCACCGTGGTTGGGTCTGCACACTGGTCCTTATCTCTCCATACCCTGCTGGCGTATGGACAGGTGCAATAACATAACGACCAAATGTAGTTCAAAGGCATGCAGGGAGGGTGGGGGCGTAGAAGCATGAAGATCCGGGCTACGAGCTGAAGCCATCGTGACCAGCACGCAGTCCCCATCCAGTCGTGTTTGTTGTGTGTTTAGCACTCTCTGTGGTGCTTTCAAAAGCACACCATGGACTTAGGAAGACCATGCATACATACGGACACACTATGGACTTAGGAAAACCACATATACATTCGGCTGCGTGGGCAAGCAGCCAGGACCACCGGGCCATGGAGACCACAGTCAGGGGCAATCTAGACACAAACACCCGTCTTCCAGTTAGACCTCCACCCCTGGGAGAAAGCCCCTGCGTGAGCAGAATGCTGCAAGGGAAGGCCAGCTGCTGGCTGCAATCTCCTTGGCACACACAGAGGGCATGTCCAGTGCCTGTATGCAAGCCTCTCTAGCGGGCTCACTGCCTCGCTCGTGCATGCTGTCCCTGAATCAGGAATGAGAAGAAAAGTTCTTTAAGGCTGTGTGGTAACTGCATTCCTGAAAATGACTACAACATGTGAACAGACGAGGAAAACCTGAGCACGAGGCTGCCAGTCTGGAAGGCAGCAGTGAGAACCAGGACTGTCACTGTCCTCTGCGTGTTGCTCACAGCTCACATAGTGATGCCAGTTCAGCCCTCAGCTGACTCCCCCAAGTGCTATCTGCCTAGCTGTGGACTCCGCACGTCTCTATAGGGTAAGCCATAGCATAACATTTCCACTTTGAGATGGCCTTAGAGAGAGGTTGTTAGGGAGCAAATGGACCAGAACGTTCTGTGTGCTATAGAGGAGCAGGAGCCAGCGAGCGCCTGCGCTCTCATCCCAGCCACCCTATAGACAGCCACACGTGCACTGCTTTTACCAAGAAGCTCAGAGCCACAGCACCAGCAAGGGCCACACAGCCGCCTTCGCCACACACCACTGTATTATGGGTGCTAACAGCTGCAGGCTGGGCATCCCTGAGGCTTCACCACACCTGAGAGCCTGTGTGGCCACCCGGAACGACATGGCATCGAACACCCGACAGCAGCATTCCCGTTCTGTGCTGTAAAACACAGGACAGGTGACACTGAAGGGTCAGCCTTCAGAGCTCTATACCCAGAGCACTCGCCTCTTCCTCAGCTGCTGTGGGTGTCCCACGGCAGAGCTCTTCTCCACACGGAGGGACCCTAACCCACATAAGATCCCTCTGCCCATCTGTGTCTACAGGGTGATGTGAAAATAACCCTCCAGGGAAGAAGGGTCAAGACCAACACACTGGGAGCAGGCCACGGAAGCACTCACCGTCTCCCCTGCTCAGGGACTCCCTGGAGTCTGCAGGAGGCAAGGGCCACCTCTGCGCTGCAGCAGGGGCTGAGAAGGGCCTCAATGCTCTGGAGGGACTATGGAGAAGGTACTGTGGCCCCGGGCCATTCTCTGCAGGAGGCCTCTGAGCAGCGTAGGCACCAAGAGCTGCGATCAGCTGCTGCTTTTCCAGCTCACTATCCACCTTGGGGCTGAGCTCATCGGGCTGGAGGCGGCCGGGGGGTCGCAGAAGGGTGTCAGGATACTTGACCCGGGTTGCAGGAGGGTAGGTCAGTGCAGACGTGTGGGCTGCGTAAGTCAGGATGTTCTCGGGGAAAGAGTCCTCACCCTACAGGGGAGAGAAGACAAGGTAAGACACGTTCTGCCTCTGCGCAGATGTCCCGTGCTGTTCAGCCAGGCTGCCCTCCACTCCGAAAAATGCTGTGAAATCACTGTGTGCTGCCGAGTCTGGCGGATGGACTATGTTGGTTCTCTTGGGCATAAGCCTAATGGAGGGATTCAGAGGTCATAATGTCAGCATATTTAACACTGAAAAAGCTGCCAGCTTGTTTTGCAGAACTCCCAAAGAATGGGACTGGGTGTCTCCTCAATGTTGTCATCTCGTTGTCCCCATAATTATTTATAGCAGGCATACTTGTGGCTGGGAAGTGCAGTCTCCTCATGTTGTTTTGTTTTCATTCCTCTGGTGGCTACCGATGTTGAGAGATCCTAGGGGCTTCGTGGCCATTTCTACATCTTCTCTAGAGAATTATCAGAATCTGCTGCCTGTGTGGGTGTTGGCTGTGATTCAGAAAGGGTAGCTTTCTTGTAAACACACCTCCACTTCACCGGAGGTTCCAAGTGCCTTGCCTGAAGCCTCTTCCTTCCCAGCTCTGCGTGTTCACTGACCTAGTCTAAATCCTCCTCCTTCCGTGCTCAAATCCTGCACAGTGAGGTCGCCGGAGCACCTGGTTAATGCAAACTGCGCTGTTGTTGGCTAGTCTGTTCTCCACTTGACACGGCCCCTTGTGAAACCTCTACCACTGCTACGGCAGCTGTTTCCAGGAGAACATGTCTTCTCCACACTCTACACTCTGTGCCACTAGAAGGCTGAGGGTTTATTACCTCAGCAGGATATGAAATGCTAGGGATTGCACAACTCTACCCTGACAAGTGACCTCATCAATATTCCATGGACATGCACAGCACATTCCAATTTTGAGACCACTGAAAAGGAGGAGGTTGTTCTGAAAGCCTCCTGAGCAATGCCTTCGTGCCGGGAGGTTCCCGGGGTCCCACTCTTGCCCATATTTTCAAACTGCATTCATTGGCATCTTTTCGCTTTTGCTCTTGGGGTACATGATCTAAGTTAAGGGGAACAGCTCTGGGAAAGGTGTTCAGCCATAAATGAGGTAAATGTAAGTAGACTCCTGCCTCTGGTAATGCTTAAAGCTACTTCTGGTCTCAGCATACATGAACAGAGGAGAGAGTGAGAGCAAGAGAGAGGAGGGCGGGCGGGGGGAGACAGAGGCAGAGTCAGAAAGACAGAGACACACACATACACACAGAGGAGAGAGAACACATTTGAGTATACATGTGTGTTCATGTGGTTATGCAGGCCGAGGTTAGCATCAAGTGTCCACTCTCCAGGTTGGTATTTTGAGACAAGAATTCGCACCAAACGTGGACTTCTCCAACTCGGCAAGGCTAGCTGGCCAGGAAGCCTCAAGGATGCTCCTGCCTCCTCTTTGGAATTACAGGAATGTGCCACCATGTCTGGGTTTTACATGGATGCTGGCTTCTGAATCCAGTCCTTATCACTCTCCTGTAGCAAGCACACCTAGCACCAAAGCTGAAGTCAGCTGTTCTTCTTTTTAGGAAACATCAGAAGTGGGGGCACATGAGCCACAGAGCTGGCTCTCCAGCCATTCCCCACAAAATCAGGGGAAGGACTCGGCCGCAGGCTCCGCTGCTCCCAGAGACTGTGTGCGTAGCTGGCCAGCTCACTGCACCAGAGGCCGGGCTCACACCCAAATGCCCACCGGTGTGCCGGAAGCATCCTCCTCTCCTCTCTCTGATGCAGTGACGGGCCCCATCCAAAGGCTCTCCAATTAGCGCCCCATGTTGGACAACTATAAACAAAGAGTCCAGGCTTGGCATATCTGGGCAGCAGGCTGGAACAATCTACTTCCCGAGTTTATGCTCTGACTCAGCCTCAGGGGAGGAGGAGGAAGGAGTATCCCAACACGTAGACAACACTCGTCCAACATTCCAGCGCACAGGCAAATAAGAGACTGAAAAATTACAGACAATGTTGGTTCCTCCATACCCCACTCTCTGGTCCCATGCAGTGGAGTGGAGTCTGCACTCTGTTGCCCTCGGGGGGGGGGGGGTTAGCCATGACGCTGGAGGTGAGTGTCAATACCAGGAGGGGCTTGTTCTTCAGTGATGCAAAGGTGGGGTCTATTGCAGACACAAGCTGCAGAGTGACTTAACAGTGAACCCACACATGTGGGTGGGTGTGGCAGCCTTCCTGGCCACTGATTCCACCATCACTGTCATCCGAGCCTTCTCACAGCTACACACCCAAGCACACTGAGGAGGACAGCTCCACTGTGCTCTCCCTTTTACCTTCCCTTTCACTCAGAGTTACGATTACAGAGGTTTCCACAGGCTCCAGCCTGAAGATGTTTGAGTCTCAGCATTATCAGTATCGAGGTATTCCCAGGAGGAATACAGAGTGCAGCGCACGACACCTGGAGGCTAACAGCCTAGAATCAAGAAACCCGCTCAGTTCCCAGCTCACGGTGGGCGCTGCTGGCGTGAGGAGTTTCCAGTTATGTGTGGGACCCAGATGTGGTGCTGGGTGAGGCCCACTGGGGCGTGATGCACCTGAGACTATTCCTGAGGCTCTGCAGGAGTGACTGTATTCCAGGCACACTCACTCAGCTATCACTGCACAGAGAAGGGCCGGGCCCCTCGCCATGGGGAGATGCTAACCAGGAAGGAGGCACACTGGGGAGCACCACATAGCTCTGACCCCTCTGTTGGATGTTTCGAGCTTTATTTTTGCCATCTGGAAAAAAAGGAAAAAGGTGATTTCCCTTCCTTTGAAGGTAGTCTTACAGATTAGGGGGACGAATGGTAAAAGCGCCTGGCTTAGCGGATGGCTCAGAGGACAAATGTGGTGAATGGTGGCTACTATCTGTGGCGTCACTACTGGCAGCAGTCCAGTAACAAGCCATCAGCAGTGCCACCCCCATCTTTACTGTCCCAGCAATGAGCAACATCCTCCCTGTCCACAGCATCCTCAGTAGCAGCAGCAGCAGCATCCACACCACTGTCTTCATCATCATCATCATCATCACCATCGTCAGCAGCAGCAGCA